GATGCCAGGCTTATAATTTAGTACTAGTACATCAAATGCAGGTTTCATCTACATAAGACTTATTCAATCAAATCAAAATACATTTAAAGCCAATAACTCGTTTTAATTTTTGTTTCTAAATTTCCAAAATGTCTTAGCTGTATACACCAATCTGGAGTTGTTTTTATACGACTGTAAAACTTTGCGGCCGTATAATGGTATGGCGACGTCTTCGTCTTTCCGAAGACATTTGGTTTCCAGACAATAACTTGAGTATAAGTGTATGGATCTCTATAATATTGTACAACAAAGGTTCTATACAACAAAAGGAAGGTTGGGATTGATTTTTGGGGTTATGGCTCTAACCCTTTAAAACATTTTGGCAAAAAGGAGGCCAAAAGCAAACATTTTTCTTGTTTCTGGACAAAAACTTGAGTATAAGTGTATGGATTTGTTTGAAATTGTACCACAAGGTTCTATACCACAAAAGGAAGGCTGGATTGAATTTTGGGGTTATGGCCGTATCCGCTTAAGAATAAGGGGCCAGCAGTAGGTAAAAAACTAGCAATTTTTATACGACCTCAAAACTTTTGCGGTTGTATAATGGTGATACGTTGTCGTCATCGTGGTCGTCCGAAGACATTTGATTTCTAGACAATAACTTGAGTATAAGTGTATGGATTTCTATGAAATTGTACCACAAGGTTTCATACCAAAAAGGAAAGTTGAGATTGATTTTGGGGGGTTATTGTCCTAACGGTTTAGCAATAAGAGGCCAAAAAGGCGCCGAAAACAAGCATTTTTCTTGTTACAGGACAATAACTTGTGTATAAGTGTATTGATCTCTCTAAAATTGTACAACAAGGTTCCATACCTCAAAAGCAAGGTTGGGATTGATTTTGAGGGTTACGGCTCAATTCGTTTAGGAATTATGGGCCAAAATAGGGCAAAAAAACCAGGATTTTCTGGTTTCTGGACAATAACTTGAGTATAAGTCTATGGATCTCTATGAAATTGTACCACAAGGTTCCATACCAAAGAAGGAAGGTTGGAATCGATTTTGGAGGTTATGGCCTTAAACGTTTAGGGAAAAAGGGTCAACACAATAATTTTCTAATACTTTGTATTAATTGCTGATTTCTTGACTAATATCAATGGGGTTTAATTCTTGATGTTCTTTTTAAAATATGCTGAATTTAACTGTGTATTTAGATTTTGGATTTTGGGCCCCGTTTTTAAATTGGTCCAAAGGGTCCAAAATTAAACTTTGTTTGGTTTCATCTAAATCTGAGTTATTGGGGTTCTTTGATAAGCCGAATCTAACCATGTATTTAAATGTTTGATTTTGGGGCCCGTTTTCAAATTGGTCCACATTAAGGTCTAAAGGGTCCTTAAACTTTGTTTGATTTCAACAAAAAATTGAATACAAGGGGTTCTTTGATATGCTGAATCTAAACATGTATTTATATTTTAAATTTTGGTCCAAATCGGGTTCAATATTAAACTGTGTTTGCTTTCAACATTAAAATTGAATATATGGGGTTCTTTGGTGTGCTGAATCTAACCATGTATTTAGATTTAGGATTTTGGGCCCAGTAATCAACTTGGTCCACATTGAGGTTCAAAGGGTCCAAAATTAAACTTTGTTTGATTTCATAAAAAGTTGAATTCTTGGGGTTTTTTGGTATGCTGAATCTAACCATGTATTTAGATTTTGGATATTGAACCATAACAGGTAAATGTCCAATTTCAAATTTTCAAGTTCTTAGAACACATTCATTCTGTGTCAGTAAATATTTTGAAGTATTGTTTTTATTGGTATAAATATTGATTTTGTTATCAGTAAATTAAAACCATACTAAATATTACACATATGTACTTTCACGGTACTACAATTTGTCGATACCTATAGTTTGGCATTGCACAATGTCATGTTTTTCTCTGACTGTTAATGACGTCTTTACACTAAATCCATTGGATATTGGATGTGTACTGATTGATGTTTTAGTCTTAGATACATGATTTTTTTATTAGTTGTTATTGGCATTGAACTAGCTGTCAGTAACTGCGAGTACTATCAGATCTGTACTTATTCTTTTTGTTGTGGGGATGTACCCGTTCACGTCCACTCTGTGTTTTTGTTAGATGTATTTCTATTTGTATCAATCTGATGAGTTAAGCCTTTTTCAACTGATTTTTATAGTTTGTTTTTATGTTGTACTGTTACACCACTGCCCCAGGTAAGGGGGAGGGTTGAGCGCTCACAAACATGTTTAACCCCGCCACATTCTTTATATGCCTGTCCCAAGTCAGGAGCCTGTAGTTCAGTTGTTGTCGTTGGTTCATGTCTGTCATATTTGTTTTTCGAAAATTGTTTTGTTATAAGTTAGGCCGTTAATTTTCTCAATTGAATTGTTTCATATTTTTCATGTCGGGGCATCTTTATAGCCGACCATACGGTATGGGTTTTTCTCATTGTTGAAGGACGTACGGTTGCCTATAAGTGCTTACATCCACTTCATTTGAACTTTGGTGGATAGTTGTCTCATTGGCATTCATATCACATCTCCTTATTTTTACATAAATAAATAATTAATTAAACTCTTTTGTATTTGGATATGCTGAATCTAACCGTGTATTTAGATTTTGGATATTGGACCATAAAAGGTAAAAGTCCAATTTCAAATTTGTCAGTTCTTTGACCACTTTCATTCTGTGTCAGAAACCTATGCTGTGTCAAATATTTATTCACAGTCCAAATTTAGAGCTGTATCAAGCTTGAATGTAGTGTCCATACCTACCCCAACTGTTCAGGATTTGACCTCTGCGGTCGTACCAAGCTGCGCTTATTTTATTTAAACTTTGTTTGAATTGATTATTTCTGACCAATTTCAATGGGGTTTGAATAATCTTGAAATATAGGGGTTCTTTGATATGCGTATTCTTAACATGTATTTAAAATTTTGATTTTGGGCTGTGTTTTTAAGTGGGTACAAATTAGGGTACACAATTAAACTTTGATTGCTATCAATATGCTTAATCTAATAGTATTTAGATTATGGATTTTAGGCCCATTTTTCAAATTGCTCCACACCAGGGTTCATAGGGTCCAAATTAAACTTTGTTTGATTTCAACAAAAAATTGAATGGTAGGGGTTTATGCGATGCTGAATTGCTTATTTTTGATCAATTTCATTTGTTTGGGTTTTTTTTACATCACGAGTTGCCTCCCTTACAATGTTTAAGCTCTTAATGTTTGTCTTATCTTTGGGGTGATATGCAAATGAGAAGCTGTCATTTTATTTTTAAGTGTTACTAAGAATTTTGCTGATTGAGATATATTAAAAACTTAGTTAATAGTGTCCATTGATAAATAAATAAATTAAATTCTTGGTGTACTTGGATATGCTGAATCTAACCGTGTATTTTGATTTTGGATATTGGACCGTAAAAAGTAAAAGTCCAATTTCAAATTTATCAGTTATTTGACCACATTCATTATGTGTCAGAAACCTATGCTGTGTCAAATTTTATAACAATCCAAATTCAGAGCTGTATCAAGCTTGAATTTAGTGTCCATACTTCCCCAACTGTTCAGGATTTGACCTCTGTGATCGTATCAAGCTGCACCCCGGGAGCATTCCATTTATGAATCAGTTACATGGGTTGACCCGAGGTCAATCAGCGTAAATGACGTCATCGAACATTGGGTTCTTACTATGACCATGAGCATTGTGACATAGGAAATTTACGGGAAAGTGCATGAATTTGAAAGTTGTCTATTAGGGACTCAAAGGCTGTAAATGGCCTATATAAAAAGTCAATGCACAAGCTTGATTTTCCGGAATTTTTTGTATTAATGTCAGAATGGAATGGCATATTACAGGGAACCTCTGCCATAATTGAAAATTACTTTGAAAGCTTCTTCTTTGAAATTTTGTATCATTGTTGAAACAAACTTGACCTTAATGATCTCTTGCAATACATTGACAAACATATTGATTTGATTTTTGTTAAGAACATATTTTCTAAGTGGAACATCCATGTATTTTACTTGAATCTCATCTATGGTTAAATGGCTGAAAAAGGATGACTGACAACGAAGGTCCCGATTATTAAGTTCAATGTTTCAAAATGGAAAATGTTAAAGCTGGTGAAAAGATATGTGAGAAAGTTAAACAGAACTTTTTTGTCCAAGTTTTAGTTTAAAGCGTTGATTTTTTACACTCAAAATAGACCAAAAAATAGAAATTTTTGCGGATTAGACCTAAATTTTCAAGATTTCAACGAAATTTATGCTTAGGAAACATAGAGCGCAAACGTCGACAAACTGAATATTAAAGTCAGATACGTAAAATGTTATACTTAGGTACAAACATTTTTTGAAAAGTTCTTTGTTGACGGCGCATGCGCTCTATGTTTTCTGTAAAAAATTAATGGAAATTTACCTGTTTTCACAAGGACGTATATTAGACAGTTATACGTCCTTGGTATTCATTAAAATTTCGTGGAAAATCAAAATAAATGCTATGTGTGACGTCATGAATAGAACGCAAGTACATAAACTTAAAACAAAAAGATATATTTCTTGTCTAGTCATTGTATTGGTTATGATTGAGGGTCTTGTTGGGGTTTACAGAATTGAGAATAATGGACAAAACATGCAGAATAAAGATCAATAAAGGGCAAAAAATATAAAAAAAATTGAGAAAATAGGCCAAAAAAAAAAAAATAGAGAATAATGGGATGCTTAAATATAAAGAATAGAGAATAAGAGACAAAATTTAACAAGTATAGAGAAAAATGGCTTTAAACATTAAAGCACACATAATTGATGGACCCCCAATCCAGACCCTCATGATTCATTGTGATATTGGTCAATAAATCCTAATTTGAAATTGTAGTTAGAAATAGGGGCTATTTGAGTGCCTGATCAAACCTACTCCTTTATTTTTTTTTGTGAAATTTACATTTGTATGAAGGATAAAAACTTTTTAAATAAAAATAAAGAAGAAACACAGTTACACGGCTATTTTGTATTTGCTAGATATCTACATGTATTTATAAGAAGATTTAACTTAAACTAATGTCCATTTTGCCTTTTGAAACAGTACAGAACAAGATTTCCTTAATTTACTAGTATGATCCTTTTCCTTTAAGTACAACACCTCTGTATCCACCTCTGTATCCACCTCCTAGACCCCATCCTCCACCGTATCCACCTCCTAGACCCCATCCTCCATATCCACCTCCTTTTCCCCATCCTCCATATCCACCTCCTAGGCCCCATCCTCCATATCCGCCTCGTAGACCCCATCCTCCATATCCACCTCCTTTACCCCATCCTCCATATCCACCTCCTAGGCCCCGTCCTCCATATCCACCTCCTAGGCCCCGTCCTCCATATCCACCTCCTAGGCCCCGTCCTCCATATCCACCTCCTAGGCCCCATCCTCCATATCCACCTCCTTTACCCCGTCCTCCATATCCACCTCCTAGGCCCCGTCCTCCATATCCACCTCCTAGGCCCCGTCCTCCATATCCACCTCCTAGGCCCCGTCCTCCATATCCACCTCCTAGGCCCCGTCCTCCATATCCACCTCCTAAGCCCCATCCACCTAGGCCTCTATATCCACCTCCATATCCACCACCATATCCGCCACCGTATCCACCACAGCCTTTACCCCAACATTTGCCGTAAGTGACATTGGTGCAGACAGCTGCCAGTAGTAAACCTAGAGCAATGGAGAGCTTCATGTTGTATCTGAAAATATATGTTTATAATGTATATATATATAATCTAATTTATGTGGTACAACTTCTTATCATTTTAAGTTGGTGTTTTTAGGATCATGACATCTTTGTTGTATGACATTATGTAAGTGACTTTGTGTTTTTTGGTTATATAATCTTATGAGAACATACAGTGTTAAGGAACAAATAAAAAGGATAGATTTTTTTGTAGTGAATATGAGGTAACAGCAAACAAAAAATAAAAATAAAAACTTAGATATCTATGTCTTTATCACCTATCGATTAGTGTTCTCCGTTAATAGTAAAACTCCGAACTACCAGACTAGAGAATAACAAAACTAAAGCTTGGCAAGACTTCCTTTTGAATCCCCCTTCACATAAGTATATGCCTATTCTATCAACCAAGTGGTTTAAAAGGAGGACTGTCCGTTGTTACATTGAATATAAGGTAAGTGCCAATTCCTATTTTTTTATGGGAAATAGAAATTTATGTAGGAAAACAATTTAGAGATTTGAGGAGCAACATGTTGTTCATTTTTATTTTGAATAAACAATCACTTGAAATTAACCCTCCCCCACCCCTTTTTGATAGAAAACTACAACACATAGGCTACTTTATAATGCAAAGTATTGAGATAGAACAGTATAGTTCTGAAAATCTTTTAAAACGGAGACATCTCGTATTATGGTTGTATAGGGAGATAGATCATTGCACCTGTATCTAAGATATAAAGCTACCTTTATTTTTATTAAAAGTTGACAGGACGCTATAAGACTCATTAGATAATAAAAGTAAAGGAAAAGTAGGGTAAACATCATTGAGATAACAATATCCAGTCATTTATAAAGAATTAATACTTTTTTTACACAATGTTCATTATACATGTTATAGATATAAGAAGATGTGGTATGAGTGCCAATGAGACAACTCTCCATCCAAGTCAAAATTTATAAAAGTAAACCATTATAGGTCACAGTACGGTCTTCAACACAGAGCCTTGGCTCACACCGAACAGTAAGCTATAAAGGGCCCCAAAAAATTACTAGTGTAAAACAATTCAAACGGGAAAACCAACAGTCTAATCTATATAAAAAACGAGAAACGAGAAACACTTATGAACCACATCAACAAACGACAACTACTGAACATCAGATTCATGACTTAGGACAGGTGCAAACAAATGCAGCGGGTTTAAACGTTTTAATGGTACCAAACCTTCACCCTTTTTCTGAAACAATAGTGTAACACATAGAAAGACACACTTTAAAAATATCAACTGAAATAGCTTAACTCAATCAAAGGACATATTAACACCATTGAACATACACTGAACAAATAAATTTGACCTATGACACATTGTAAATACAAAATAAATAAACTAAGGGAAGAATAATATCGGGATTTGGAGAGATAGGTGACACTATGTACTATATAATGCACAGTACTAGTGTGCACCAAAAGGTGGTTATTAAGGCATTTATGATAAAGGTCATGAACCAAGATTACTTTTGCCAAAAGTCAAGTCTTGCCATCATGGTCAGGATGCAATATCTTGAAGGAAATTAAAAACATCTTTTCAGTTGAAAATAAAACATGCAAAATAATAGTTGTTCATTTACTAATTTGTGTTTCAAATTCATAAATTAATATATGAAAAGAACTTGGTTATTATAATCTTTTTAAAAGATTAAATGAACCTAAATAAAAAGAGTTTATATATGTTTTCCTTCATATTTCCTGAGATATCGTAAAAGGTAAACAAATAATAATTAACTGTCATGATCAGCATATTACCGGTATTTCAAAACTGATTTCTTCTAACTGACCATTGTCACTTTGAGTATTGATTTAACACACCGATATTTAGATATTTGTATCTTTGAGTATTAACACACAGCTATTTAGATATTTGTATCTTTCAGTATTAACACACATCTATTTAGATATTTGCATCTTTAAGTATTAACACACAGCTATTTAGATATTTGTATCTTTCAGTATTAACACATAGCTATTTAGATATTTGTAGCTTTGAGTATTAACACACAGCTATTCAGATATTTTTATCTTGGAATATTAGCACACAGCTATTTAGTATTTGTATCTTTGAGTATTAACACACAGCTATTTAGATATTTGTATCTTTGAGTATTAACACACAGCTATTCAGATATTTTTATCTTGGAGTATTAGCACACAGCTATTTAGATATTTGTATCTTTGAGTATTAACACACAGCTATTTAGATATTTGTATCTTTGAGTATTAACACACAGCTATTTAGATATTTGTATCTTGGAGTATTGACACACAGCTATTTAGATGTTTGTATCTTGGAGTATTAGCACACAGCTATTTAGGTATTTGTATCTTTAAGTATTAACACACAGCTTTTTAGATATTTGTATCTTGGAGTATTGACACACAGCTATTTAGATGTTTGTATCTTTGAGTATTAACACACAGCTATTTAGATATTTGTATCTTTGAGTATTAACACATAGCTATTTAGATATTTGTATCTTGGAGTATTGACACACAGCTATTTAGATGTTTGTATCTTTGAGTATTAACACACAGCTATTTAGATATATGTAACTTTTAGTTTTAACACACAGCTATTTAGATTTTTGTATCTTGGAGTGTTAACACACAGCTATTTAGGTATTTGTATTAAAATTTGTGCCTTTTCAGGTTACTTTACCTTAGATTTACCCGAGTTTCACCATATCAATTTAGTTTCATTAAAATTAATTATTTTTAAAACAGCTCTTCATAAAAATGAAATAATTACAATAGCGCATTCCAAGGAAATTGGATAACTCTGATATACAACAGTTTGTAATGCAGTATCGTGTGAATATTTGTGTGGTTTGCATTTGGCATATCCATATATTTATACCAAAAATTCAACTAGCTCTCCAGGAGTGGCAATATTATTTAGTCTATGATAGGAGGCATACAATTTTGATAAGTAATTTACAAAATATATGTCTGCTGGAAAATCATAAAGGTGACAATATTAAAAGGAGTAATTCAAATTAAAGAGCAAAGCCAAAGAAGCATCATATTGAATAGTACTAGTAAAAGTCGTTGATATTATATTAAGTATGAAATAAAGATGGGAATCTAATCTTTCTCTAATTAAAGATGGTATTTAGTTTAGTTCTTGAAGGTTATGGTTGTTCCTTTTAAAGTTATTATTCCTGTCTTATGTAATATTCTTCTAGTAATTTTGAAAAGAAACCGAATTAAAACGTATTTGATTCCAAATGAAATTTCATTGACAAAAACATTAAGAATCGAAGGCATCTTATTAAATCTGGATTATTTCTAAGCGTAAAAATTTAGCAAGAGAATTAGAAGCACCTGTATATATTTTTCAAATGTCATAGCCAATGAATAGGTATCAATAAGATTACTTACCTTGTGTAGGATGGGAACGTTGTGCTCTAATCATTGTGCTGTAGGAGTATATATACTGGAACATGCTATGTAAGATTGATGAGGAATCATTTTCAATTCATCAGAAATTGTCACAATTTTCGAAAAAAAGAAGAAAGTCATCATTATCTTGTTTTATGACGTTTATTGATGCTAACATGCATGGGAGTAAATTTTGAATCTAGGTTCAATTTTCCTTACATACTAGTCATTTTGGGGCCCTTTATAGCTTGCTGTTTCGTGTGAGCCAAGGCTCCGTGTTGAAGACCGTACTTTGACCTATAATTGTTTACTTTTTACACATTGTGACTTGGATGGAGAGTTGTCTCATTGGCACTCATATCACATCTTATTTATTTTCCATTGGGGTCAAAATACCTCATAGGGGTCTAATTAAAAAGTTTGTCCAATGACTGCATAAGTCTACTTTACAATCAAGATGCCTATTTTTTTAAAACAGATGATAAATATATGGGTACTTAGTTTGAAGTTTTGTTATGCTATGTGAGCAATACAGGCTCCTTGTTACCCCTTGTTTTTTTGTGACTTAGCAATTTAACCTATCAATTACATTTATAACGGCACAGATTAAAAAATCTAGAATACATTTTTTTTTTTGTAAATTTGTTTGTGATTTACATTATTTTCATGCAATAAATATATTTTACTGCACTGTCTCTGTCCCATATTAAAAATGACAAATGAAGTTTGTAAATGTTTGATAAGTACTTTGAAAAAAAAAAAATTTTTTATGATAAACTATGCATGTTTTTATTTTATCATTGTGTTTTTGGGTCAGACAGTCTGACACAGAATAAAAGTCTGAAGGTACATTTTGTATGTAGTATGTAAACTATTTGTTTATCGGTACATGGAAACTTTAGAAAAAGTAATTACCGGAAAACCCAAAACATTGACACAAACTGGGGAATAAAAAGTAAACCAAGAAATGCTATTATCATACTTTTGCTTTTTGAAAGGGGCCAAATAGTGATTGGGGACTGGATTATCCTTCCATCCCACTGTTGTATGTTCTACTTATCCTCAATCAAAACTTTTCATAGAAGTATTAGCATAAGTACTTTTACACTTTATATTTTATTTCTTCATCCAAATGATTTTTAGGGTTTACTTTGGCACGACATGGACCTTTTCATATCTGCATATTACATTACACATTGTATCCACTTCTCCTTCTAAACATCCATTCAGAATTTAAAGAATCTTTCTCAGAATCTTCACCATATAATGCCATTGCAAATCAAGGACTTTGTAAAGGGCTTAGGGAAAGATTTTGTGAGCTTTGCTTGACATACCTTTAGTTTAACTGAA